TCAAAGATGCCCCTGCCATCCAGCAAGGACTGGATGCCATTGCCATCCAGCAACGATTGACCATGCCCTCTTGGCACCAACCAGCTGCCACCAATGTAGCCACGGTCCATCTCCAAGCTAGCTTGTGGGGAGTTGCCTGTCACACGACCCCTGCGTGTCCCAGCTACGAGCCACCAGCTGCCCAGTGCCACACCCTTGAATGCCCTCGCTGGTGCCCATCCATCGTTGGATGATGGGGAGATTATCGAGCTTACCAGCCCTAGTAGTCACCCAACCTCTGGGGAGATCATGATGGTAAAACCTCCAGCCAACAGGCAACCAGCTCCATTGCTGGCAACAACAACATTGCAGCTGCAGCTGACAACCAAATAAGACCAAGTGTGGCTCCCACTCAGCCAGCTCTCCAGCCAAGAGCATATGAGCAGACCCACAGTGTGGTGACCCCCCAAACAACCTGCTCCAAGACACAGAGCACACAAGGGTCCCACCACAACCAACATTGGCAGGAGACCTAGTGGTCCATCACCCACAGTGACACCCAAGGTTCCCAGCCTGGTTCCTACCGAACCACCAACCTATGGCACAGCCAAATGCCACAAGACTCGTACCCAATGAGTGCCGTTGTCTTTGGATAGGACCAGCCTTGGTCCAACCATCACCAGTCCATATGCCAGGAGGCCCACCACACAGATACCCTCTGCTCTTGGTGGAATCCATGGGGAGCAACCACAGCAAGCACCTTTGACCAAGACAGCTTTGGTGTCTCCTACCCAGGAGCTGACTGCCATGGTGCCGCCTTCCCAGAAGCTGACCGCCACCATGCTTTCTACCCCAAAGCTGGCTGACATGGCATGGTGCATGGCAATGGACCAATCCCGTGACGCCCCTGGATTTTCGGACGGGCAACTAGACTACGTCCTGTCTGGTACAGCCCATCCATCCCATCCGTCAAGGGACATGATTGCGGGGCAAGAAGGCCGCTCCACTGAGAGCTTGCCACCGCTGAATTCGGCCTGTGGCAAAGCCACGAAATATTGTCTACATAGAAGAAAACAAACAACAGCTATGATAGCAACCAGCACCGCCGACACCTACCGGTCTGGCCATGCTGATGAGCACGCAATCCTTTGCGCCTACCTTTGGTCCAGCAACCAACCACCATGTGCAAGTCCCTCCACAGTTGAGATTCCATCTTGCATGTGTTCCACTAGCAGTCGATGCTGAGTGGCCCATGGATGTTCCATTCATGGGAGAGTTTGTAGATAGTTAGTAGTAACTAGTCGTATATCTGGCATTCCATGAGAGCGATCCATACGCACTCGTGGGGAGCGATAACTAGGAGCGAGAGCTCTGATCCCGTCAGAGATAGCTCCAACAGCTATGCTGGCCTACAGCTCCAGCACTCGCAGCTGCTTATCCCAGCAAAGCAGCAAGAAAGGATCGTCCTTTCTACCATATTAAGAAAATAGTACGAAGATTGAGACCGATCCTGATTAGCTGTTAGCCCCTTTGATACCGAGCAGTTGATACCAATCCTGTTGAGGCCGGGCAGAAGCAGTAGGAGGTAGCAGATAGTACTGTTCCCAGACTGCCACTGCACGATGAATAACGAAGGCTCCCAGCTCCTGAGGAGAGCTGGCCAAAAGGGCCCAGCAGAGAGCTCTGCTGGCCCTCCTGTCTGACTGACAGGACCAAGTCCTGGGTTTGGTGCCTACTGGAGGTGTTGGAATACCCTGAGGCACGACAAGGCTCCCTGAACTGCCTGACTACCGCTGTCCTGAGGAAGGTTTCAGCGAGACCCAGTCCACTACTTCAGTACTGGAACTGAACCTTCAAGAAACTTATTGGCTAGTACGGCCAGCCAAAGCACAAAGGTCCTTACCACACAGACCGAGTCAATAACAATGGCACTGTACGGCTCCGACATGCTACCGCCAGTAGCGGCACAGTCTACCAGACTTGGAACATAAGGTATTTACACCCATACAAGGCCTGATCCCTTGTAGGATTGCCATCGTGCGACGCACATGTCTACATCCAATCTCCGAGAGTGCCCCGCACTTTAATTCATATGTTCTCCTTGTCCGACTGATGTCGTGCCTTCCGTGACCTTGTCAGGGGGCGATGAAATACACGGCTCTTAGCCTTATTCGCGACTCGATCCTAAGTAGGGTCTGAGTTCGACTCATGACTGAGTCTTCGTGAATAGTCATTGAGACAGGGTTCTCATGACCGCTAGTCATACTAGGTCAATGGTGAAACATCGCGCTAGATATTTAGCTGCGTGGAGAGATTCCACGCTACTAGATAAATGCTAACGAATCTTCCACGCTTCCGTTTTTGATCGTGGGTGAGTAGGATTGCTACGCAACCTACTCTATCACACTCTACAGTCTCCGCGGGAGTTCAGATCTACGATCCTTTGATTGTGGATCTCTCTCGTTGATTAGTTTTCATAGCTTTCTAATCCTCTCATAACTTTCATTTCATTCTCTCAAACTCAAAACACTCGAAAGATCTTTACACTAGCTTTTAGCGTAGTGCACTGCCCAACAATGGAGTGGTAGTGAGGAGACTCGAATTGCTCCTCTGTGGAGGGAACTGTCATGGTGAGTCCTTGGAAGTGTTTGTGGAAGAGTTCTGGATTCTTTGCCCTGGTAATGGATTCTGACACTGCTTCTGCCATTGCTAGCATTGCCAGTGGTGCTCCTTTCTTCTTGTGCTTTTCCACAAAGGCAGTATCATTTACAAGAGTGGTTACCTTTTGACAAAGAGCTACTGGAGTGGCCATTGCTGCCTTTTGTTGCTGTTGCCGGCTCTGCTTTGGTTTGGCTGTGTTTGTTCTAGGACCAAAGAAGGCTTCCCCGTTCTCTCTTGTTGAATGCTTCCAGCTTCCTCTCTCATTCAGTGGAAGAGGAGCACTGAAATGCCTTGTGAGTCTTCTGCTCTCTCTGATGGTTTCCATTGTCAGCTCATTCAAATCTCCTCTTCCTCTTGTTACTGTATTCTTAATACAGAGAACGTGGTGTGATCTTTTTGGGACTCTGAAACCAAGATGTCTGGCCTTACAGATGACACAGTTCTTGAGTGGATCAAAGACTTCTGCTACCACTCCTCCCAGTGTTGTTTGTGGTCCTTCTTCTCTCGCTCTCTTGGATCTGTTGTTGTTGTTGTTGTTGTTGGAGGCGTGATATGCTCTCTTCTGTTGCGAGTTCCTCTGTTGACTTTGGCAGCCCATTCCTCCATTGTGAGTGGTAGCTGCTGTTGTTGTTGGTGGATTCATTGCTGCTGGTGCTGCAATTGCTTCGTTTTGGTGGAGATAATGACTGTCGAGTTGAGGGCGAGCGGCAGCATGTCATCGGCAGCATGTCATTGTCGATCGAACGAACGGAGGAATCCTTCTTTCTGTTTTCGCGAAACACGAAAATCGAAACTAGGTAGCACACTAACTCCTTAGGTATGTGTCATATTTACGTCACGATTCTTTATTTGTTCCTTAATCGCTGCTGACATATACATTGTTCTTCGGTACTCATTAGCCAATCAGATTTCTGCCTTCCACCCCTTTCTCGCCGTTTCCAGTCAGCCACATACAAAACAGCATTAAGCCAGCGATTTACATTTCATGTAGTTTCGGTGTAAATGACGTCACAAAAAGGGGTCATTCGTGCTGGATCTTTTGCGTTCGAAATTATTCGCACCTCGCCTTTGATAATACCGTTGCCCAATCAGAGTGCTCGTGGAAATTCAAACCAAGATCACCCCAATGCTCCTTGGCATCTTCCCTTCCATCAAAGAGACACAAATTTCGCCACCACCCTCGAATCATCCACCCATTCGAAAATAATTAAACAAAGCAACCAAGATGTCTTCTGAAAAGCCCATGACCAAGGTCCTCATCTTTGGAGGAAAGACAGGATGGATCGGTGGACAGATGCACGATATGTGCAAGGAGAAGGGTAGGTAGCATTAGAATTGGTTGAGGCAGTGCTGTTTTAAAGAGACAATCGACCTTGAGGTTCTCCGAACATCTTTCGGGTGGATTGATAGGGTTCGCTGATGGCTGGAGTCATTATCTTGTACTAGCTAGATACGAGAGGAATCCTCTCTCTTGGCTCATTTCACCCGTCGTATGAAAGAGCGTTGATCGTCGTTGATATCCATCGTCTCAGGTGAATACTATTTTGTGACTAATCTTTTTGGATTTTTGTTGTTGGTCTTTATTATCCGTATAGGAATTGAGGTTGTCAATGCCGAAACTCGCATCGAGAACCGCGAATCCTTGGCCAAGGAACTCGATGAAGTGAAGCCTTCCCATGTTCTCATGTCGGCTGGAATTACGGGACGCCCCAACATTGATTGGTGCGAGGACCACAAACCCGAGACAATCCGCGTCAATGTCATTGGAACTTTGAATGTCGCTGATTTGTGTAACGAGCGCGACATTCACGTTACCGTCTACGCCACTGGCTGCATCTTTGCCTACGACGAAAAGCATCAATTGGGATCTGGCGTCGGCTTCACCGAGGAAGATGTCCCCAACTTTGATGGATCCTTCTACAGCAAGACCAAGGGATACATGGAACCCCTGTTGAAAAACTACCCCAACTGCTTGATTCTCCGTGTCCGCATGCCCGTCTCGGATGACTTGTTCCACCGCAACTTTGTCACCAAGATTGTCAAGTACGAACGCGTCGTTAACATCCCCAACTCCATGACAATTCTTCACGAAATGTTGCCCGCCAGTTTGGCCATGGCCAAAAAGGGATTGACCGGGGTCTACAACTTTACCAACCCTGGAGTCATTTCCCACAATGAAGTCTTGGACTTGTACAAGAAGTACATTGACCCAACCTACACTTACAAAAATTTCACCATTGAGGAACAAGCCAAGATCCTTAAGGCTGCCCGTTCCAACAATGAACTTGATACCACCAAGCTCATGAAGGACATGCCCGAAGGTGTAGAAATTAACGAAATCCACAAGGCCTACGAATTGTGCTTTCAGCGAATGAAGGAAAATCTTACCAAGATGGGATGGTTGCCCGACAACATGGTAAGGAAGATTGATTCTCAAAAATAAATATGGTCCATTGTTATTTGCACCATGAGAAAATGTTCGAGTTGCTCACCCCTTTCCACCTCTTGTTTACAGCCCGCTGAATTCGTCCGCAAATAAATTTTGTTTGTTTGTTGAAGGAAGCTTCTCATCGAAACGCGCTGCTAGATAGACAACATCATCTACTGGCAGCAGCTGTCGCACGGTAAAAGAGAGATTTGATTCTTAGGCTGGTTGGAAGGAGTGGTAAAACTAAACAATTTTTCAGACTTTGTTGCTATGCGTTGTAGTTAGTTATAGTTACCGTACAGGTACGGGAGCCCTGATGTGATAAAGAAAGCGGCAGTACGGGTCTAGTTAGCTAGTAGTAAACTGCTATTTTTCAGAGTGCAGTCATGCATTGTCTCCACGAGCTACAGTACCGGTGTACCCGATGTGTATCAATCCAAGGCGGCTCAGGTTGATACCGGTCATCATGCTGTTCGAGCATTCCGCGAACCCATCTCCATGATGTTCTCCTACATGTACTTATTTATCAATTGCAGCAAAAAGTGAGTATTCTAAATATAATTTACTGGGATTGACAGAGACAAGCCTTCAGGCTGGAGTTCTGGTGCCGAGTGGCACGAGGCAACAGAACTGTGGCTTGATGGGTTGACTCTGTGGTACTATTTCTATGGATTATATCGATTGCATTCACACACACCATTGGTGTTAAACATCAATGGTTGTTGGCACTTTTTCGCCCATTGAGGGCTCATCAGTACTGCTCACTGGGGTTGTACTCGAGAATCCACAACTACGCTTACCGGTTCCAGCCGGTACAACTAGACCTACTTACGTCTGTCTAATTCATGTCTGCTCCTGAAGCAGACTTTTTCACACGGGTGCGGCATTTTCCCCTCGCCCCATCAGTTTCCTGATGCACTTGATGGAACGGTACTCTCACCTTGTTCTTCTTCTGACGACGACGAGGATGACGCCGTCGAATCATCACTTACGTTGCCGTCTTGGCCCACATTGACAGCCCGCGCAAGAGCAATGACCGGCAATGTTGCCATAAGCTGTATGCTTGCTGTGATGCAAAAGGTTGGTAAGAGACCCAGCAAAGACACAAGAAAACCACCCAGAAAGGAACTTCCAGACCAAGAAAACATGTTGACTGACTCAAGGATATTCCAACGGCCCCTTTCATTGGCAGGTACATTGTCCATTAACATGCTCTTGGTCAAAGGGGTAGTTGAATTCATGAATGCTGTCCGGACCACATACACAACACAAATGATCCAAGCAGGATAATCCAGGTGAACAAACAGCACAAGCACTAACATGAAAGAAACACCAATCCACTTGTGTACCACAGTGACATGACACCGGCCATATTGTTTTGAAAAGTGTTGGCCAGATATCATGAGACAGGCTTGACATAAAGGAGCCACCAGGTACAGCACTTGGACTTGGACAGGACTCAGTTGCAACTGTTCAAGAAAGAGGATGGGAAAGTAGCGGATAGACATGCCTGATGCAATGCCTGATGTCAAATCTGCCATGCTGATCAGGATGGCAGCTGCCCGCCATTTTGGTACACAGCAGTAGAGGAATTCAGTGTGTTGTTGATCAGGGGACTCTATGGAAGCATTCACACCACCTTCCAATTGACAAAAGGATGAGTATTCATGTTCAACACCACCACAGTTCTCATGGCCCTGAGCAGTTTCTGTAGTATCCAGATCGTCATTGAGGGTTGGCTGCTCAAGGGATATTGTTGGCAAAAGTGGTTCTGTCAAATCTGAGTTCCTTGTGGTCTGGTTGGGTTGTCTCTCAGTTGCAGTTCGTGCTCTTCTGTGGTCTTGAGAAGAAGGGACATCATCATCATTCAAGAGTACCAAGAGCAACACAGCAGGCAAACAGACAGCTTGGCCTAAACCCATGACAATGGCACACTCCCGCATAGTCCAATTATCACCCAGAAAATAGAACAGGGCGAGTGCCATGGTGGGTCCAACAGTGTTTCCCAAAATGAGGAGAATAGACCGCAGTGTAAAGTAGTAGGATCGATCTCCATCAGAAATGGAATCGGCAAAGATTGCTCCTAGTGAGGTATTGGTAATACCCCAAAAGATGCCCCAAACTGCCAATGCTGCCACCAATAAGCTGTAGGAGTTTCCAAAGGCATACAGTTGAAGAAGAGTAAAGCCAATGGCCAGCAATCCCATAGCAGAAGCAATCTTGAGCATAAAATCCCTTCTGTGAGTATCAGCAACATAGCCTGCGGGAATGCAAGCCAAGAATTGACACATTCCCATGACACCAGTTATGGATCCAAGAGCTTGGGCATTCTCATCTGATAATAGATATACATATGTAGCCAAGACGCTTTGGCTCCAGATGGAGCGACCTGCAAATCCAATGAGAGCATAAAGTAGAGTCAATCGGATGTTTCGGTTTATTTCATGCTGTTGAGGCTGGCCAGAAAGGGAAGACGGAGCAGTGGCATTGTTTTCTTGTAGACGTAGTGGCATGGCGGCACGAGCGAGTGATCTACTCGGAAATCTTTGGTGACCGAAGAGCCTTTTTCGAGAGACTACCGAGAACAAACAAACTGATCCGAAACAAACAGAGTGATCCCAGACTGTGCTGTCTGAAGCTTGGACTAGATCTAAAGGCGAAGCACAAGTTTTGTGGACAACAACAACTTTCTACAAAAAGAAATTGTGAACATCATTCGAGAAAGGGATTTTGAGCAAATCCAGGGAAGGGGTGTTTGTGTAGCTTTGCGTCATTACCCGTGCGAGGTCGTATTTTGGTAGACCTCGTCATTTTTGTCTCAACCGTTGACAAAAGGATAAAAGAGGATGACTCCGACGTCACGGAAAGTGAGGAAAACTGGTCGGTGATGTGGATCCCAACATCCCAACCCGAAACAAAAACAAAAGTACAGTACAGCCGTACCGACCGTACGTAGTCTACTCTACTACATACTGGTAGTAGCTAGTTACAGCGTTACAGCCGCAAGGCAGACAGGTTTGGAAAGGTAGTTGTGGTAAATATGAGGTTAAAGTTTCTTTGTACACCACATTTTTGTATAAACTATATTTCACCGCAACGCTCTGAACTCCAAAGTTGTCTACAAGTAAGTACATGTGCGTGTACTCTGGCTAGAACTGTGGCAGCTACTGCGGCCACAACGCAGAACAACTCCGGTGCAATACCTGTATTCGTGGAGCTCTATGATACCCGCAGCTTTGGAAACTAAAAGGCGGGCGGTACTGGGATCTACTAGCTAGCTAGTGTTGGTCAAAGCTTAGATGGTTAGTCTCAAGGTTGCAGAAGGTAAAAGATGGAACTGGTTCGAGAGTTGCTTGGTCTGAGTTGCGATGAGGCACCTCGGGCTCTACCGTGTGCAACGGAAAGAATCAACCTAGTAGAGCGAATTCATTGATCCGCTTCAAGCTACCACATCAACTGCCGTAGTAGGCAATATGGATGGGTCAAAGTGTCACAGTGTCACAGTGTCTTCTGGTGGTCTCCCGTCGACTCTGCATCGAGCTACGTGTCATCCCGAGCACTTTCTTCGTCCATCTTGATCAGTCTCTTGTGGGGCGTGCACTTTGACTTCGTTCTTCTTGTTCCGAAGATGATGCCACTGAAGATTGTTGTTGCTGTAGGCCACCAGCAGTGCTGTTTACGCGCCCTTCGTCTACATTAACTGTCAATGCCAGTGCAATGACAGGTAATGTTGCCAGAAACTGCATGGTTGCTGTAACACAAAAGTTGAACAACAGACCGTGCAGTGAAACAAGGAAACCACCGAAAGCAGCACTTCCCGACCAAGAAAACATGTTGACCGACTCAAGGACACTCCAGCGACCTCTCTCATGAGTTGGGACATTGTCCATCAGAACACTCTTAGTCAATGGAGTTGTGGAATTCATGAATGCTGTTCGAAGCACATAGACAACACAAATGATCCATGCAGGAAGGTTCAAATGGGCAAAAATGACCAGCAGCATCATGAAGGTTATTCCAATCCATTTGTGTGCCACAGTGACTTGGCAGCGACCATATTGTTTTGAAAAGTGTTGACCAGATCTCATGAGGCAGGCTTGCAGTAGAGGAGCCAAAAGATACAGTACTTGGACATGGACAGGACTCAAATGCAAACGCTTGACGAAAAAGATTGGGAAGTATCGGATGGACATGCCAGATGCGAGGCCAGATGTCAAATCTGCCATGCTGATGAGTACTGGAGCAACACGATGCTTGGGTACGCAACAAAAAAAGAACTCAACGTTTTCTTCTGCAGATTGTTGGGCACATGATGATGAGGATGATGGTGCAGTTCCGTGATCATTCAATAGAAGGTCATTTTCAACATCAGCACTGTTTTCGACAACGTCTGCTTCTGGACAACCAATGAGTTGAATTTTTGGTTGCTGATGTTGCCCCCCAGCTGGACTTGCTGGCAAAAGTGGCTCAATCATATCAGCAAGGCTTCCTTGTTGGTTGGTTTCTTGTTGCTGTGCCGATGGTACTTCACTTGCAGAAGCAGAATTGTGTCTTTCTTGGCCACAAGCAGGAACCTCATCGTCACTGAAGAGGGCCAAGAGTAGGACAGCTGGTAGGCAAACAGCTTGCCCAAAACTCATTACCACGGCACAATCATGGACTGTCCAATGGTCCCCCAAGAAGAAAAACATGGCCAAAGCCATGGAGGGTCCCACTGTGTTTCCCAAATTAATCAGAATAGACCGTTGTGTAAAGTAGTAGGACCGGTCTCCATCTGCAATGGAATCAGCAAATAAAGCTCCCAGTGACGTATTGGCAATGCCCCAGAATACTCCCCATATAGCCAGTGCCACCACCAGAAATGTGTAGGAGTTCTGACTGGCATACATCTCCAACAGAGTAAAACAAATGGCCAGCAACCCCACTGCTGAAGCCACCTTGAGCATGACATCTCTTCTGTATTTATCTGCCACATAGCCTGTGGGGATAGATGCCAGGAGCTGGGAAATCCCCATGACAGCCGTAATGAATCCCACCGCTTCGGGATTCTCATTGGTCAGCAGGAACACATAGGTTGCCAAAACACTTTGATTCCAAATGGATCGACCGGCAAACGCAATTATTGTGTAAAATAATGTGAACCGAATATTGCGGTTCATATGATGATGCTGATGCTGCTGTGGTTCATCCGGCACAATTTCGGTGGGATCTCTTTGCCGTTGGCTGGTTGCATTGGTGGGAGTGCCAAGTTGGTTGCTGTCTCCTGCAGTGGACGAAGGGGCCGTCACTTCGTGCAACTCATCTTGTGCCATCTTTCCTCCTATCCTGCACAAGTCATAGATTTGGTTGTGTCTCCTTGCAGCTCAAAGGTTGGTGGACAACAACACGGACAGAGCTCGTAAAGCAACGCACTGATGATGAGGGACAGTCATTGTTGCATGTTCCTTTTGGGCTGTGGCAAGACGAAGTTGAAGTAAGTTGGCTGTCACTCCCGTCTGGAAGTCGTGAACCTAACTAAGGATAAAGTTTTGTTTGATGTTTTGAAAACAACGCGAGAACCACGAAACTCTGTGCGAGTGCCGACAAGTTGCATCCAGATGGCAATAAAACAATGATGAGGCTGATGCCAAAGTGCAGGTAGCCGGAATACATACATGTCATCTGCAGCTCTTAGGTCGCTGGAATCAGGCACTCAACTATCTAGGCGGTGACTTTAGTCGGCCGCCAATAGGATGGGGGTATCATCCATCGCATCATGGATCCAGTTTCTCTTGGTGGCAGGCCAATATTGTAATGGTAGTCGCCGATCATGCTATACCTATGCATTCGCCAGTTTTAATGATATCGGTAGAAGTCGTGCCATACTGAGGGATATGAGATTGGAGACATTTGGCTTTTCCAGACATGTCAGACAAGGAAGAAAACATCCTGGAAGCACGTGGTGGCATCCTTCCGTTAGAAGCACAATCACTCAAAGGAGACAGAGCGAGGAATCATCTCCAGATTATCAGCCAGAGCAGGATCATCAGGACAGAAATCAACAGTCCAATGAATCAGATCAGTCTACTAGTAAGCAGCCACTGGAAGGGCAGAACCAATCATTCGGCAAGTTTACCGAGAGCTACCAAGAGGGAGACTACTTCGTTTGGGAAGTGGGGGATGTGGAAGAAGATCTCACGAGGCTAGACTATTCGATATCACTCGATAATGCCGAAGACAATCTCAAATATCAAGAACGTCAAGAGGTATTGGATGCCTTTGCAGCGCAACGACGATTGCTATTACCCGATATGCACCGCTTTGTCACGAGAACACTCCAATGGTCCTTGATCTTTGTCCTGCTCAAACGATTCATCAAACACAGCAAAGCCGACAACCAACTGGCAACCCTCGTGGGTACACGGCTCATGACGCTTCCATGGGATATTCATTTCTGGGCAATCACCGTTCTGACTCCCATTGTCTTTCTCAAGATCAAACGCCGCGTCCTGGCACCACCAGCGCCAATCCCCAGCGATGTACAGCATCTTCCGCTCAGCTATGTGGAAAGCAGCCCTGAGATTGACTGGGAGAATCCCCAAACGTCCTGTCGAGATAATGTCTTGTGCCTCGCAGAACAATGGTCTTCCGCAGTGACAGGAGTCGCGTATTTGGGGATCTTTCAAATCCTTTGCAGGGCACTGGTTCGCGTACCAGCCGTCGCAGACATCCCAATCCTCCGTAACCTTCGATTTGTTCCAGTGTTTTCAGCACCATTAATGGCAGCCGTCCAGTTTGTCACCAGATTATCGGCCATGGTATCTGTGTTTCAGTTTCCTAAGCTGCTGTTTGAGCTGCAAAGGAAGCAACAACCACGCCCCCTGAAAATGGGGGTCGCCATTCTCCAACAACTCATTGGATCGTTGCTGAAATGGGGAATGCCCGTGGGATTGGCATCGGACTTGTCGCAGGTTTTGGCACCATTGCCGCGAAGAAGTTTGATTGCCATCTACGGTGCAGCATTCGCCTTTTTGAGCGCCATGGAAATGCGCTACAACCCATCTCGCAAACCAAGTCAAATCCCCTCAAAGACGAAACGTGAACGGGCACCCCTTGTGCGGTTCCTGGACATTGTTGCCTCCCTGGGCTTTTCCGCAGTCGTGCTGGTAGCTTCAGCGTACATTGCAATGCTTGGTATCTTTCACAAGCCCGCCGCCTTGCCAAGGATATCGTGGCTTGCCGTTGCGACATATGGTGCTCTTTTGTTTTCCATGATTGGGTAAGTAATGGTATCTGAGCAACATCCGGCTATACGACTGTCGTGGATTCATTCTCAATATCTATGCCTTTTTAAATGCTATCCACAGTCCATTCTGCCATCTGGCGGCCTTTCAGAGAATCGTTGACATTGTGCATACGCACGATTTGTCCTTGACAACGGAGCCGGAGGCGATGCAAGAAACGCTCAACAATCCACAGAAACGACAAGAGAGATACCAGTGGAGGCACCGGCTCCGGTGGAGAGAACCAAGACGTATTGACACAGTCGCTGGTAATCCCTGGAGCACGTTTTGGCACTGGGTCTTCATTTCTGGATCCATAGAAGAAAAGCTGTATCAAATGGACGAGGACATACGCGAAAAGGAACGCAACAAGCAAGATGACCTGTTACAGCAGGCCAACATTTGGAAAAGGCTAGAGAAAGAAAAGGAGCATGAGATTCCTGGAACTCCACCACCCGACCGACGGGTCTGGAAAGACGCGGCAATGAAACGAGTGGCAGAGTTTCATCAGCAAGATTTCGAAGCGAACAAGTACACGGACCCGTTGGGGGTCGCTGTGCAACAAACGTTCGGCATTGGCCTCGTGTATATGGATGATCACCTCCGGCCACTCGACAAGGACGAGCAGCCGAGCACCCGTCGATTGCAAGCCCGAGCTGCAAAGTCAGCCTTGAAACGTGTCCAAGAGCTTAGAAGAGAGGCCATTCAAAAGATCAATCAGCTCGGCACAGGAGACGAGGATCCAAAAGAGGTGGAAGCAAAGAAGACTGAGATTGTCCTCCATGTAGACAGTGAAATCGACCGTTTGGGAAAGCGATTGGCTGAGCTTACCCCATATAACGATAACCCTGACGGCAACGCGACGGGCCTGCAATTCTTGGGATCACACGGACTCAGAGCTATTCCCGGAAGGCTGGTTGACGCTGAGAATTCAGCTATTGAGGAATTAATGCGATGGTACGAAGTAGAGATCCTTGGCTTGGACCCGCCAGACTTGTCGGAAGCAGCTTCTTTCGACAATAAAACCAACAATACGAAGGGCGACAGTTTCTCCAATTCACCTGGCGACGACTCGGAGATTGCCCATTTGAGGAAACGCTTTGCAGGCAGCTCTTTCGTCGACGAAGACAACGAGCAAGCAATGAACAGCAACAGCACAAGGAAGAACGACCCTGATGACATGTCAACGATTCTAGTTTGATAGGTTGTGAATTGAACAGTTGAATAGACCTCTGTAGCTAATTTGCGAGCTGTTTGCATCTGCCACAACAACAACACGTCTTTTACTAGCTTGAAAACCCTAAGTAAGGCAAAAAGTTGATGCGTTGCAATCCGAAGCCAGAGAATCCCGATACTAGTATACAGTTAGTTGTTACCAGGTACCTGGTAGTCGACTTCACGTTGGCTATTCGAACACATGTTTGTATGAGCCTCAGATGATGTTTGCAGGCGGCACAATACTACTCCACCGAACCGTGAATTGGTGGCTTTCTTGACGCACCCCCGTTGAGGAACATTCCCAACTCGCTTGTCACGGCCTACCGTATGTATCCTCCTCCTCTTCATCACTATCCACCACAACTTCTAACCGTTCCGCAATGCGCAAGGTGGCACTCCGTGCTCTGGAATTGAGTGCCACTTCCTGCTCGGATGCTTTTTGAAACTTTCCGACGGGTCGAAATGGTTTGGGCGGTCCATTCCAATTCCCGTACATGTCTTTGTGCAGGAGACTACTACTGGCCCGCACCTTGGCAATGGTTCCATCCCTCATGATTCGTTTGGTGGCTCGATCTTCCATACTGTGGTAACTGAGTACAACGAGTCGTCCTCCCGGTCGCAACAATTGCGGACACGCCTCTTCCAGGACGCGTTGCAAAACTAAATCTTCTTGATTGACGACAATGCGCAAGGCTTGAAAGACTCGTGCACATGTCGCAGTACGTCCCTTGCGTTTGGATCGTTTGTCAAAGGCGGGCACCACATCCGCCACGGCTTGTTGCAAATCGGTGGTAGTGACGAGTGGTCGATTGTTTAGTATGGATTTGGCAATGGCCCTGGCGCGTGGTTCATCCCCAAACTGTTTCAAGATGCGCGTCAAATCGGATTCTTGCAATTCATTGACCAAATCGGCGGCCGTGAGTGAGGATTGCGATTGTTGTGTGTTGTCACTACTACTACTACTAGTACTCATGCGCATATCGAGTGGTCCTTCGGCCATGAATGCAAATCCTCGTTCTGGAGTATCAATTTGGTGGGAACTGACTCCAAAGTCTAGTAAAATTCCATCGATCGAGTGCAGACTCGGCAATAGGGGAGTGTCATCGTCATTGGCAGTTGTCGTCGTGATTTGTGGCAATCTCTGTGCCAACTGCGCAAAATTGCATTGCACGGGGACAAAGAGTGGCAAATCTTGTGGATTGTTCATGTACGCTTCCAGCCGTTGAGAGGCAGTTTGCAAGGCATTGAAGTCTACATCGCATCCAAAGACGACATCTCCTGGTTTCAGTTGTTGCAAGAGTGCTTCGGAATGACCTCCTCCTCCCAGTGTCCCATCCACAAAAAAGAGAGGTTCTCTACTACATGAAGTATCTGAATCGTCGTCTTCTTCTTGTAGTTGTTGTCGTTGACGAGCCCTTTGACATCCCAAGAGTCCCTCGATGCATTCCTTCCACATGACGGGTGCATGATATGTCGAAGCAAATGGCAAGGAAGAAGAAGTAGCAGTAGCAGAAAACAAGTCGTCATCACCATCTTCATTGTCATCCTGGCGGGTCTGTTGCTCAGTTGGAATTTTGGTCGAGGACGAGTACATTCGGCGTGTGGACGACCGATAGGAGGGCCCAGCAGTAAAGGCAGACACAGTCCCTCTACTTGCAGTGAGTACATGTACATGAAGTGGTGACACAGCCACGGCCGTCCAGAATGGATAAAGCCTCATTTTTCTTGTGAATTCTTGGGAAAGTGAGTAAGATGACAGAATATTATTGCAATGGTAGAGTTTTCTCCCAAAGGCAAATCGGCACAATCTCTGTCTCATAGAGTACAGTACAGTATGTATAGCTGGTGCTGGTGACGGTGACGGTAATGAGGATGATGATCAAGGGAAGGAATATGAAAGTGTTTCAAGTACGATCTGTAGTCTAAGTTTCAAGCTTCCCATCAGTTTGCCTTCAGTCATGAGCTTAGTCACGATTGGATCTTTTGCCTCGCAGCCATTCATTCGGTTGCCTTGGCACATCCATTTCATGCCATTTTGCAGTGGACGACATTGTCAACAACCCAACCATGATGTGTTAACTGAAAGCCGTTCCTTTGTCTCTTGAAACTTTACTAGTCTACAGTAGCAAAGCAACGATGACAACATCACTCCGTCGAGCCGACTTGTTGTCGCTGAGCAATTTGCGGAATGACGGTCGCAAACCAGAAGAAATTCGTCGCTTGCGGGTCCAACTGGGTCCACTGGCAGGAGAAGCGGGTGGATCCGCTTTGGTAGAAATGGGATTGACCATGGCATTGGCGGTCGTCAAGGGCCCCATGGAATGTCTGCGACGATCGGATGAATTGCCCGATCGTGCCATTCTCGATGTCAAAGTGTCTGCAGCGCCGTTTGGCTTTGGAACGGATCGACGTGTTACCAACGCCAATACGGATCGACGATTGGTGGAAGCGGCGCATTGGTTACAAAAGGCCATGGAAGCGACCGTCTTGTTGCAGTTGCATCCCAAATCTCGTATTCAAATTCACGTCCTCGTATTAGCCGACGATGGGGGACGACTCTGTGCCGCTATTAATGCCGCGACGTGTGCGCTGCTCGATGCCGGGATTCCCATGAAGGACTTTTGTGTCGCTTGTACGGCCGGATTGGACGAGGATACCACCTTGGTAGATCTCAATCGAAGAGAAGAATCCTCCAGCAATGGACAACCCGCCGTCGTCTTGCCCTGTGCCATGCTGCCACAACGAGGGACTGTCGTATTGGCACAATGCGAAGCACGATTACCCAGTACCGACACGTTGCATCGTGTACAAGCGGCCGCCATGGACGGATGTCGGGCCGTATTTGAAATTCTACAAGCCGCGGTTCGAGAACGAGCCACTACGTTGCTCTCGGCGCGAAAGGGACATGCGTCCATTGAAAATGCATTTCCATGAGCACTCACAAAATACCAAACAACATCATACCATGGATGAATATCCAAAACGATGGGACGCCTCGATTGATTGACACAAAATAAATTATGGTACGTGAATGAGAATGAAATGGGGTGGATTCGTTTCGTTCTTGTCTGCTTTGGTTTGTTTTGGTTTGCTCGTTTTGCTTTCCGTCATATGTGAACAAGGGAGGAAACTATACACTTTTACTTTTCTATTTTGTCCTACTGTTTGGTGAGGACATATAACTCTGTGGTTCTGATGTTCACACGTTGATGGTGATTTTAGTTTGTTTTGGTTTGGTTTGTTTTGTTTGGCCATGACGAACAGTTTGAGAAATGACGTTTGATTCTGTAGTAAACTACACGTCAAACTGTGGACTTTAATCTTTGAGATCGCGAGCCAATATTGTTGTCATGCTGCAGGCAGTGAATGTATACGGCTTGTTTGTTGCTGGTGATGTTTGGCAGTTACTTGGAGAAAGATTCATTCACCGCAATTTCTCTTTTTCCCCCCCACCGGTTCAGTGCTTCATGATAGAGTTGGTTGGTTATACCGCAACGGGACCATTCGATCAGGTATTTTGGGGGAACACTGCCAGGTTTCTAACATCGGGGGAGTGCGAGGAATAAAATCGCAAGTAACAATTGGATGTCTGCGCTACTTTGAAAGAAAACTGTGATACAGAGTCCAGCTTTCTATTGGCAAGGTGACTGGCTACCGTACGTACGACGCGGGAGTACATTGGTTTGGACTGCTACCTAGTATCAATCTTCCTGACAGCAACTTTGTTGTTGACAGTCATTCAACCAACGCTGTTTTGTGCAGCAAATTCACTGGTACCGGTAACGGTAATACAGAATAAGGGGAAGATAGATCTCAAAACCTGTTGGTTGCACCCTGCTTAGATCTTACCGGAAGCACGTATTCATACGATTTTAGCAATTGTACCAATAACATGCATCAACGATGCTTCCTACACAGTCGAATCGTCAGTCTGCCTCGTGTAAAAGCGCGCAAAACGCGGGAAACTTTGTTAGTACTGATAATTTGTATAGTAAAAACATGTCCGCCCGGGCGACATTTGTCTCACATCTTTCGAGTTTATGGCGTGAAGTTTAGATGTGAAGGTCGTTGTGGATCGAGGCAAACCAATTTGAAAAGGTACCTCCACCCCCATCAACAGCCATGGAGTCGACCAGAGGCAAATGCAACATCATCACCAAAGTGGATCCAACTCTGCACATCCATCCGCATAGGTATCCCTGAGCCTCTGCTTGAACTGGATCCAAAACGGGCAACACTTTGTTAGGGCTTGTCGACAGTAGCATAGCCAGAATGCCTAGGACAGAGAATGACGAACGGATCGAGGAGGCCCTCATTCCCATG